ATGTGTATTAACACAACCCCATCTCTGTCCTCCTGCTTCTCACTGTGTGTTTTAAATTAACTAATTTAATCATGTGATTTGTGAATATTACTTTGTTCTGTGAATGTTTCTGTTCAAAACTTCCTTAGTTTATCTGGTAGTGTTTTTGAAGGCTACCATTGCATCCACAAAATTGCCCACAGGATAGCAGTTACAAATCACCTAAAAATTACTCATACAGGCTTTTTGAATTAAACTACATTCTACCCTATTCAGTTTGCTCGGCATGCAACAGATATTTAGTTTGTTTCTGCCTCTAGACTCTCTCTTCAACCACTGAATGAACTTGAATTAATTTACCACTTGATTTTCCTACACGTGTTCTCTTTTTTAGGTTTAGCATCATGCTTATGTTCAATGGCACCTACTACCAGCCACCCTTCTTCCTTATTTCAGGAAGACTCATATCTGAGTCTCCATCCAACTGAGCATCACGTATATAATTGCCATCCTGGAGAACCGCATCATAATTACCATAATACACAAGAATCCCAGCCTTCATGAGCCTCAGTATGTATTCTTATCCATGTTGGCAGCCACCGACACAGGCATGTCAGCATCTACACTGCCTACTGTACCTAATATGTTTCTCCTTAACCACAGGATTGAGTTCCATGGTTGCCTAGCTCCGACGTTCTTCATCCACACTTCTCTTCTGTGGAGTCAGCCCTCCTGTAAGCCATGGCTTTTGATTGCTTTGTTGCCATACGCAACCCGCTGTGCTACACTGTGGTCCTGACCCATTCCCGCATTACTCAGGTGGGATTGGCTGCTATGGCTTGAGGAGTGACACTGATGGCCTTCTTACTCATCCAGCTCAAATGGCTTCCCTTCTGTAAGAACATCATCCTATCCCACTCATTCTGCTTCCACCCTGAAGTGATGAAGCTAGCTTGTGTGTCCATTCATGTGAACATCACCCATGGGTTGGCATTGGTTCTCTGCACCTTTGGTGTTGACTCTGTCTTTATTGTTTCTGTCTTATGCTTTGATCTTGAAGACAGTTCTTAGCATTGCTTCTGGGGAAGGATGACTTAAGGAACTCAACACACATGTCTACCACATTGTCATGGTCCTCATTGTCTAGGACCCGCTTATTGGCTTAGTTCTGATCCACAGGACAGGCAGATACAACTCCCCTTTACCCCACATCACTATGTCCAACATTATCCTTTTCCTCACACCTGTCCTCAACTCTTTTGTTTCTAGTGTGAAAAGAAAACAAATTAGAAGTCCAAAATGTAGACTGTTTGCACTTAACTAGGTTGATGGAACAGAGTAAGATCCCTTTGAGGGACTGACTGAAAGTTACCAGGGATATTGAAAAAAGAAGAATCAACAGACATTATTTTCCTGTGTGCTGAGGTACTTCCTTTAGTACATCTCTGTATGGTTTTATTGTAATTTTTCTAGAAATATAGTATTCCTTTCTGGTTTTAAATATTTGATCAAGAAAGATGCCCAAAACCCCTTTCACCTTCACTTATGTTTCTCATTCCTGGTGTTTACAGCACTCACCTATGAGCCCATTTCAATCTAAAGAGTCCTACAGATACTTCTATCTGAGACTCCCACATGTATAGCTATATGGCTGAAATATTATTTAAAATAAAATATTTACATTGTTATACAGACATATACTATCTTTTGGGAGTTTGAGATATTATAGAGGGGAATATTCCAAATGAGAGAAAAGAAGGCTTATTTTCATTTTCATAATTTTTATTTAAATATGTTTATGTTTTATGATTCCTTTGCTGAAACCATCCCAATCTAAGCCTCATATAACATGAAAATTCAGTGAGAGATTAAAATGAAAATATAACAAAGCAGTGTACCTAAAATCTGCCATTTATGTAATGTATCCTTGATTTTCTCAGGTTGTATTAATTTAGATTTCATATTTAGTTGAAGATATAAATATATACTGCTTAAGCTAAAATCAGGACTCTGAAACTTATCTGTTATGTATCCAGGGAACATAATGACCCTGATTTCTGTGCTTCAGTGTCTCTATCAGTGAAAATGAGTTAATAATGGTATCTACTCTGTAAGGACACTGTAAGAAGAAATGTGATAAGTTATGTAATATGTCTGTAACAATGAAAAGTATGTTGCAAATGTTCAGTGAATATGAATCATTTTATTATAAACCAAAAATATGGTAGAGGACAAAGGCCAAGCCAGGATTTAAAGATAAATACAAATGAATAAAGGCTTCTGTCATTCAGATGGTGATATCAAAGGTGACCAGAGGATAATACAGTTTGTTCAAAGACATATTTAGAGTTCTCTTTTTATATATATTTTATAAAATATGTTTGTTTGCAAATATGTAAAATGATTCAGACCAGGTTTATATATTTCATATTTGTGTATATCATATTTATATGCCCAATATTATCATTGCAGATCAGAGACAGGCATCAAATTCTTTATATATACTAGTGATGTCTCTAAATTAACTATAATACAGCAGAGCTAGACATTATTACTTCATCCATTTAAAATTTTTTCATGTTTATTTATTTACTTTGAGAGAGAGAGAGAGAGAGAGCAGGGGGAGGGGCCAAGAGAGAGGGAAAGAGAGAATCCCAAGCAGGCTCCATGTTGTCAGCACAGAGCCCAATGTGAGACTCTATCTCATGAACCTTGAGATCATGACCTGAGCCAAAATCAATTCAGACAGTTAACCAACTGAGCCACCCAGGTGCCCTATTACTTCATCCTTTTTTAATCAAGTTATGTGGACATGAATTCATGGTTCATTAATTTATTGATTCAATAATAATATTTAATTCTTTTATTTTCACCTTTTGTCCTTTGTGACTCCTTATTTTACATCTTCACACAACCATTCTGGGGTTCACTATATACCACACTGTATGGGACAGATGAATCAGACAAAAATGCCATCATTTAGGGAAGTACCACTTAGTAAGTGAGACAAGACAGGAATACATTGGCATACTTTAAGACAGAATCAAATAAAGTATCCAATCCACTTCATAACAGACAGAATATGCCATTAAGTTACCTCATCATTTAATTTATAAGTGAAGAAATGTAAAACAAAATTATCAGGAAAGGTCACAGATTCAAAGGAAGGATCTCAGGGACTCAAGCTTAAGGACTCAACACTGTCATGTCACTTTTCCTCTCTGGGGCATCCTCTTATATCTGCTTCTTTTCTCCTCCATACTCATGCTCTCCTAATGTAGACAGGTATGGCTTCCACAAAGCTATGGAACATGATGACCACATGTGATGTGATCTCCTTCCAGAAAGGAGACTCTTTCACGCTAACTCTAGCATAAAACATGAAGGAGATTTTCTTTCCTCAGTTTTTAATATCTATAGCTGAAAGATCAGAGGAGGGATATGGTGAATTTTATTATTGGTCTCATTCAAACTCTACAGACAAGTAAGGATTTCCTCAAAGGAAAATTGTGCAGTGTTTTAAGACAATGAAACAGTTGCTGAAAAATGATCCCCAGTTCCCTCTACTCATGCTCAGGGAAGTCAGAGTTAGGAGGCTTTTGGCCAGACTCACAATAAAGAAAATGATTAAATCAGGCCTTAAAAGATGAAGAAACAGTTTAAGAATTAGAATTTTATTTAATTTTTTCAGCGTCTTAATTATACTTCTCAAATAATCTCTCCATAAAGGTAAAGACCATACTTAAAAAAAAATAACTCCCTTTATCTTGTTAATACCTAACAGATAGAGCTTACTGAATGCTTTTGGAATTGAGATAGATTTCCAGCTTCCATAATACTTCTCTTGATCTTCTCTGTCTTGCAGGCCGAAGTTCTTGGCAACCCCAGTCCTCACTAGCTTACTTTCCTCTGAATTCATATTAACAATTCAAAGCAAGTCTCAGCCTTACTAATTACATTATGTAACATGGTTTTGCTGCTATTTCCTGATTTCCATGGGTAGAATGTAAGCTATACGAATATTAAATCTATGTCTTTTATATGATTCTGGTGTCTACCGAATATGTCAGACATTAAAATATTTTCCAGTTGATTGCTTGAGCTATCCTTTAGAAATTCATTCAAAGCTCTCTTAAAGTTGTTTGAAATTCTTGCTAATGATAACTGCATGTTTGTTCATTCCCATGGACAATTAAGTCTCTCTCTTTACTTGCTTCCTATGCTGATCCTAGCAGGACAATTCTTCCTTTGCTTACTCTAACTTCAAGAGCTGACCCTAGAAGAGAATAAACGAATTTGTTTTTCCTCTTGGAAAGTTAGGAGAAAAAAAAAAAAAAAAAGATGTAGCCTTGCTTCAACAGGCAGAATATAACCCTATCTACCCTCAGTATGAAATGTGAAACAAAACAATATCCAAATAAGGCATGAATTCTGAATGAAGTAGCAAAATGAGTAAGAATAACTATTTCTCAGATCCTTATATATTATTCTTTTCAGAAAGCTTCTTTACTTTTTGTTAAAAGTCAGAAGGTTCAGACATTAGCTAGTATCCAACTACAAGAAGTAGTCAGAAATAATAAACATACCGTCATAAATTTATCATCAATTTTGAATTTTCGTGCTTCAGCTTAAACAACATTGCCAGTCAAGAATTAGGAGACATTTTGTTTTCTCTATAGAATTAATCCTTCATTGATCTTTTACAATCCAGAGTTGGACTCCTCAGTTTAGCACCTGGAGCGATGTGATTTTCCTCCAACTCACACACCAAACACATTGAGCTTGGCTTCCTGTTGTCATTTCTCCTTACCACTACCAAAGTCATCATTCATGATCACAGTTATGATCTTTTATCTAAGCGTTCTGCCTCTCCTTCCCTCATTAGTTAGATTAATTATTTCTTGAGAAAACCTAAGTATTTTATTGTTTTGAATTCATGGTGCCTAACATACTACTTGGCACACAGTAGATCCTGAATAGCAGTTTTTAAATTGGTTATCTCTTCTAATATAGAGAAAATATCATTCCCCAGCAATGACACGTTGCACCCAAAATCGCTTGCGCAGGGCAGCCTGGATCTGCCGGGATTTGAGACTATAGACGAGAGGGTTGAGCAGTGGTGTCATGAGGAGGTAGGCATTACTCATGGTGGTATACAGAATTGGGGAAGTGTCCTCGGTATAACGATGCAGCACTGCCAAGCTGATTAGGGGCAGGTAGAACACAAGCACCGTGCATAGGTGACAGGCACAGGTGTGCAGTGACCTCCAGTTTCTGTCTTGAGTCTCCAGCTTCATAATAGTGTCCAAGATCTTCATGTATGAAGCTAAGATGAAGACAACATCCACTGCAAATGTGCAGAGAACAAAAACCAATCCATAGGCACTGCTGAAGGTAATGTCCCCACAGGCTAAGTTCAGCATATCTGGGTAGTAGCAATAGGAGTGTGAGAGGATATTGGCCCCACAGAAAGGAAAAGTCCTAAGGAAAAAAGGCAGAGGAGCCAGGAGAGTGGCACCTCGTATGAGGGCAGCTCCACTAAGGCATGCAACCGTGTAGTGGGTAAGGATCTTGGTATAGTTTAATGGAGCACAGATAGCTACCAAACGGTCAAAAGCCATGGCCACCAGGACACCTGATTCTACTGAGGAGAGGGTGTGGATGAAGAACATCTGGGTTAGGCAGGCATTAAGGCCAATGTCGCGGACATCAAACCAGAAGATAGCCAAGACACTAGGCATTGTTGACAATGAAAGGCCTAGATCAGTAAGGGCTAGCATAGCCAAAAAATAGAACTGAGGTTCATGAAGGTTCTTCTCTGCTCTAACTAGGATAAGAAGAACAGCATTACCCACAAGGGCTATGAAGTACAGGACACAGAAGGGGATAGAGATCCATATATGTGCAGCCTCCAGACCAGGAATACCAATGAAGGAGAAAGTGGGCCAATTAAAGAAAGTGTTATTAAAAGCCAACATAGTAAGATGCACATAGGACTGTAGTTCAGGATACTTGCAAACCTATAAAAGAGAAACCATGTGTCAGGAAATGTGAAAGCCAAATTTAAAGTAAATAGGTTATTGATGCACAGAATATAAAATTAAAATATGGAGAACTGAAAAATTGAGTTTCTATTTTGAGCTTCATAACTATTTTGATATGTGGATGGCAACTAAGTACATGAAAAGATGTAGAACATCATTATTTATTAGGTAAATGTAAATAAATACAATAGGATACCATTAGAATGGCTAGAATTAAAAAGACTGAAAATTCCATGTGTTGATGAGGATATGAACAGCTGGAACTCTCTCTCCTGGAATGTAAGTGGTACAACTTCTTTGGAACACAGTTTGGCAGTTTCTTATAAAGTTATACATACACTTATCATACAGTTAGCATTACCCAGAAATTTCACTCTTAAAAGTTGGCCCAAGAGTCAAAAGACATGAATAGATGCTTCTCCAAAGAAGACATCCAGATGGCCAACCAACACATGAAAAAATTCTCAACGTCATTCATCATCAGGGAAATACAAATCAAAACCACAATGAGATACCACCTTACACCTGTCAGAATGGCTAACATTAACAACTCAGGCAACAACAGATATTGGCGAGGATGCAGAGAAAGAGGATCTCTTGCACTGCTGGTGGGAATGCAAGCTGGTGCAGCCACTCTGGAAAACAGTACGAAAGTTCCTCAAAAACTTAAAAATAGAACTACCCTATGACCCAGCAATTGCACTACTAGGTATTTATCCAAGGGGTACAGGTATGCTGTTTCGAAGGGACACATGCACCCCCATGTTTATAGCAGCACTATCAACAATAGCCAAGGTATGGAAAGAGCCCAAATGTCCATCGATGGATGAATGGATAAAGAAGATGTGGTACATATATACAATGGAGTATTATTCAGCAATCAAAATGAATGAAATCTTGCCATTTGCAACAACATGGATGGAACTAGAGGGTATTATGCTAAGTGAAATTAGTCAGAGAAGACAAATATCATATGACTTCACTCATATGAGGGCTTTAAGACACAAAATAGATGAACATAAGGGAAGGGAAGCAAAAATAATATAAAAACAGGGAGGGGGACAAAACATAAGAGACTCTTAAATATTGAGAACAAACAGAGGGTTACTGGAAGGGTTGTGGGGAGAAGGGATGGGCTAAATGGGTAGGGGGCATTAGGGAATCTACTCTTGAAATCATTGTTGCACTATATGCTAACTAATTTGGGTGTAAATTAAAAAAATAAATTAAAAAAAAATGTTGGGCCAAGAGAAATGAAAACTCATGTTCACACAAAGACTTGTACACATTTATCCATAATATTTTTATTCATACTAGCAAAAAACCCAGAAAAAAAACAAATATACAACCACTGTTGAATGAATAAACAAACTGTGACAAATCCACACAATTTAAATCAAAGAGGGGGGGTGCTTGAGTGGCTCAGTCAGTTGAGTATTTGACTCTTGATTTTGGTCATGATCTTGTGGTTCGTGAATTCGAGCCCTGTGTCAGGCTCTGCACTGACAGTGCAGAGTCTAGTTGGGATTCTCTCTCACCCTCTCTCTCCTTCTCTCTCTCTCTCAAAATAAATACATAAATAAACTTTTTTTTT